TGAATTATCCTTAAATAGTGTGAAGCTTGTTTAAAAAGTTCGAAAATTAATGTAAAATCAAGCACGAGGTACAAATAAAATTGTCGAAGGTTTAAACGTGTACGACTAACCTTGCTTTCTATTCGTTAACATAATGACACTTCTGACAGTTGGCTTTGAAATGGCTTTCTAGAGCGCGCGCTCGGGATAAAAACAAACAATAATATTGCCGATTTAAATTCTTGTTTTCATTCAGTTATGCGATTCAAGGAAAATTGATTACCTGACTCATGAATTCCGCGTCAAATTGAACTTGAAAACCGATATCGCACTTATCGCTTCGCGATTCGTGCGATATCGGTTTTTGCGTGCAATTTAACGCGGAATTCTCTCGTCAGGTAATCAATTTTTACTATAGAATCGATTCAGGTTGAGCTTATAGTAAGTGGATATAGTGTTGTTTTCGAAGATATAAAAATTAGTTTGGAGCTTTTTATTTCCGCACGGAACTTTGTGATAATCCCAACATCGGCATTTACGTCACGACAATCTAATTAGGCACCCTGTGGTTAACTCCGGAATTCCAATCACATTTAAGGGTTAGTTCCGTGTTCGATCAGGAAATCAATACAATAAGGTAGTTTTGCATAGTTAATGACGACAAATTGATTTTTATCCGTGCTTTCGTTTCAAATTCTTATCCATTTCCCATGGCGAGATTGTTTGCAATATCTTTCCGTAAGCTAGCGGAGGGCGTCTAAGAAAATTCTAGGGTAAAACTGAACTTCATTGTGGATTTGAAAGAGGAAAATTCAATCAGTTATACCGGTAGGCCAAATGTTCTTTGCTGAACGGTAAAAGACGGTTGAAGACGGGAAGAAATCTTATACTGTAGTAGATGCAACATACTCGTAGAACGGCAAAAATAATTAGCCGTTAGGTGTAAAAATTGACAAATTTTAACTGTCAGTCGTAAAAAGCGTTAACCGTAAACATCTAGCACTAGCCGTATAAAATGGCCTAAATTTCAATCGATAGCCGTGAAAGCCAACTTCCCATGGAGGATCTCGTTTGATTGTCGCCTCTGTTGTGAAAGGCAAGATCAGCGACCGCGACTTTCTATTTATTGACCAGCGATTGATTTGACTATTCAAGCTTCATTCCATAGACCTTGTGGACCCTATCTTCTGAGCCATTCGCTTTAAGTGCCTCAATATTAAAATATAAACCACCATTATCCCACTGGGAAGACTTGACCCTCCCAGTCCCTTCCCCGCCTTGGTAAGGTTCAAAGGACGACAGTCGAAAGCCCGTGGGTTACCCCAGATGTGAAGCTGCGAGTTAATCAGGGTACAACGTCACTGACACCACTTCAACACTTTTTTGAATGTCAAAATCTAAAAAAAGAATATCAGTGCGCAAAGCAAAAATAATTCGATTGAGCTGATAACCACACCTACATAAAAAAAGACAAACTTGTGATCATTAGTGAGTTTTTTCTACGATGAATTTTGAGCAGAACAACGCAAGCACGAGGTAAAAGATTGCAAGGAGATGTATTTTTAAACAAAAAAACTCAGTGAGAAAGAAAATTTTGATAAAAATATATCTCGAGCTTGAAGGTTCTAAAAACTTAGGGACTGGTCTTAAAATAGAGGGGGGATGGGCTATGAAAAATTGAGGGTGGGTAACTAGTTTTTAACACGTTAAAAAGGGTAGGTCAAGGAAAAAAATGTACTGCATTAGGGGTGGGTCGTGTTAAATTATTCACATATCCCCACAAGCGTTAGTAGAATCTGTTTTTTAATAATATATCTAATTTTCCACCTTAATCAAACCTTATATAGCAGTTCACATATTATAAACTTTGTTTCCTTTTTTGTACAGTCTTAAATCTACAGAGTAGTCAGCAAACGTTTTGAAGTAAAAAATCTCGAACACTAATTAGCTTTACCGTGTGTTCAGAAGCCTTCACTTTATATATCATTTCAAACATCTTTTTACACATCTGCTCCTATAAATCATCTTTTAATAGTCATCTTCACC